TCTAATCTACTGTAAAATATTTTATTTCAGCTGGAATTATCATTCGCTGAAAAGACTTTTTCTGGGTGTTTTGTATTGAATTTATTTTCATTGATTTTTGACAAGTTGACTGTAAAATATAAGAAAAGGGTATATTCGCTGGATTTTATTTTAACTGAAACATTCCTTCAGCGAAAATAGCAAAAAAATGTTGCAAGCAAAAATAAAGTATTTTACAGTAATTAATTTATTCTGAGCATGCGCAGACGTTTTGTCAATGTTGCCGGGAGAGGCAATTTTTGATAAAATCGTGAAAAAGACCCACTTGGGATTTTCAGATCTGGAAAAAAAATTACGTGCATACTCGGAGGGGACATGTTCATCAACCTGCCAAGTTTCACTGATATCTGCTGTAGAATTTCTGAGAAAATGTTGGAGACGGAATTATGGACATAACCTGAATTAGTAGTCCCCTTTTCAGGCTGCGCCTGAACGGGGACTAACAAGGCAATCAGGCTGGTCTGTCAAAAGACAAAGTCGAAAATAGCATTTTTACCAAAAGTGAAAAAAATATTTGCCATTAATAAAGAATTTAAGATATTGTCACGAAATGGACAAATCTTAAAAAGGTACACCCAAGGTGCCTACATACCGAGTATAAAAGCAAATGAGTTGAAAGAAGTCAACAATTTTATTGTTGATAGCAGGGAGATGGTGACAAACAATCACTTATATGAACAGCTGCACTCTAGGAGGACAGCATAGCTAATGAAGTAGCTCTATATAAAATGAGGTTTTTACTTCAAGGCAGAGTTAAAACAAACATTATTGGTAACAGTGAACCAAGTATAATTGTAACGTTGCAGGACAAATTGATTTGGAGATATAATTGGTTATTATTGGCATCCACTGTAACTATGATCAAAGTTAATAAATATTAAACAGTCATTTAATTTAAAAACTAATTTAATTTAATTTAATTTAATTTATTAAACAGCGTCCGGATTACTTTCGGAAATTCCGTCGCTCTTCGGAAAGTTTTAATTTTCACAACTTTTGAATATTAATTCATACTTTTAGGTTAGTGAGGAGGTTATAATAA